TCTTGCAGGACTGGGCAGTAGGAGCTCAGAACCACGTGAGCCATTGTCTCGTCCTGCCCTGATGTGTTCACAGCCCAGGACAGAAAGGGAGTGTAGGGGATGGCCCCATGCATAGTTATGCATTGGGAGGACGGGATATTTCTCAGATTGGAGCCTTCCCATAGGTGATGGTAGGAAATGATACAGGAGTATATCAGAGATCTCTAAACCTTAAACCCACACAGACATCGAGACAGGAAAATAAAGGTAGACGGCCCCTGTGTCACTAGCCTCGGCGGGGATAGGGGAGTAATAGATCTGTCAGTGGAGCTTCCACATTCCAGTTTTGGCAATGGCAGCATCACCCATCCTTAATTTTTCACTTGGTTCTTCCAAGAGTTCTGTTTTTCTCTCTCCCTCTCCCCAAACACCCTGTCCCCCTCAATTCTCTCCTTTTTCCTTTTTAGTGAGATAGGGAAAGGGTTGGACTGGCTTTTTATATCTGTGAGGGGTTTAGAAGCTCTTGGATCCTTTCCACTTTCCTGTTTTCAAGGAAGTCTGATGACAGAATTTAGAGCTAGAGAACACCTTGAAACATTTATTTTTACAGATAAGGAAACTGAAGCTCAGAGAGATTAACATGATTTACTGAGGTCACAAACCTGACAAACAGAAGGGCTAGATTGTGTGACTCAAAATCTACGACTCTTGTCACTAACCCATAACTGATTCCCCTTCTAATTATCTTACCCTTGTATGATATTTCTGAATTGGTATATTCTTTTTTCCTACCTGTAAATCCTACAAAATGTTTGTTTTCTGTAATGTGTTAGTAAGAAAGGAAAGAAGAGAGTCGTGTTATAGTCATCTAGCTATGGTAGTAGTGGGGAAGAGGGGAAAGGTAAATAGGGGTTACGCATTTCTCTATGAACAGTCTGACACCTGGCCTATACTAGAAGTCTTTCCAGTTTGGTGGGATCTGTCATGACTTGAATTTCATTCCATTCATACAACCTTTGGGAACATAGAGTTGGCATATAGGATCATCATAGAGATGGAAGAACCCTCACAGGCCATCTAGTCCAACCCTTCATATTACAGGCAAAGAAACAGAGAGCTTAAGGAGTTTGTTCAAGTTCACAAAAGTAGTTATCATTTGAGGAGCATTTGAACCCAGATCCTCTGACTCCAGAACTGGGAATCTTTCCACTATACCATACTGCTCTATGAACAACACAGGTGCCAAGATTTTTTAAAAACTTAATTTAGTTTCTTGGAATCAGGAGGACCTGCATTCAAATCCGACCTCAGACACATGAACACTTACTAGCTGTGTGACCCTGGGTAAGTCACTTAATCCCGATTGCCTCACCAAAAGGCAAAAAAAAAAAATTAATTTAGTGGTCCATGAAGGTTTAGCCCAAAAAACAAATGAATCTCTCTGTTCCAATCTCATTCTCTATAATCAATGATATGGTATGTTTATATATTAAAATGACTTGTGAGATAGGATAGACACTTAAAAGCTGTGCTACTTACCTTTAGCTTTTAAAAATATGTATTGTAAAATATTGTCTTAACGTATCAAAATAAGCAATATTGTTCTTTGATTACAGAATGGAGTTGTCATTATATGGTCCTAAAATGCACATGTCAGTGGTTCAATCCTCTCCTGTATAATTCAGACAGAAATCAAACACCTGTATGTACTTGTAGACACAGATACAAAAACCATGGTACTGATCTTTACAGTGAGAATTTCTGGCAAAGAATTAAGGTAATTTAAGCCTTGTACCTATAGAAATATTTCAAGTATGCAAAAAACAACAACGAAATAAATGTCAGCTAGAAATAAGTTATTTTATTTTAAAACACATTACAGGATAATAAATATGTTATTGGAAAACTTAGTAAATAGCCTTTTATAATTTATATGAGGCAACTACAACATGCCAAGACTATCTTTAAAAAGCAAAAGATAAGCAAGAATTCTTAGTCATTAACAAATGTATATACAGTATTTGGAGGCTAATAAAATAAGTCTTTTTGATCTCCCTTGATGCAACCACACTAAAATAATATTTATGTAACCAAATGCAATTATACCTTTTTATATTCTAGACTACTCCCCCCATTCATATTTTACATCCCAATTGTCAGGAAGACAATATTTTAATTTTTAAAAATCACACTCAGGAAGTTACTGTGCAAATAGCATCCTTTCTTCCCCCAAAGTGTAAACCATCTACATTGAAAAGTATTTCTGAGTTACAAAATAAAATAATTTCCCCTTTTCACTGTGATACTTTGGCACTAATAATTTAGGAATTTCTGACATTTACTATAGTGAATGCAAAATACATCAGAAAGGTGTGGGAACAGTGAACACTGTACTCCAGGATATCAAAGAGTTAATTATAAAGACTTAACTCCTTGAAGGCAGGACATTAAGCATAATTAATTACAAATTTGTTCTAACCGGAAATTTCAACTTTTTTTTACAGGTTATAAATTCTCTAAAGAACATAAATCTAGGTAGATTTCAAAAGCCTAGAAAGAGCTCTATTTAAGTTAGAAGATCAGAGTGGTTCATCATGCAAACAAAATCTGACCTTTCAGTGCTGCTCTGTTTTTTGTTTTTTAAGTCTTTTTTTTACCCCCTTTACCTTGAGTGTCTTAACAGGATAATATAAAACCCTTCCTCTTTTGGAAAAAAAAAAGGAAAATCAAAACTTCCTATTTTTACATAAACTTAATCCAGTATTTCTTTTCTCAGTGCTCAAAATTACTCTATTACAAATCAACCATGTTAGGAGACACTATTTGTCAAGTTGCAGTTTGATTCTGTCAATTAATGCAGTGTTTTTATCCTATAGTTATCAAAATACTCCAAAATGTGAATCAAACCTCAAAACAAGTTATGTGAAGAATTATCCCCATTTGACGGATGGGAACCTGAGGCACGGAGGTTAGTTAACTTTCATAGGGCTGCACAAGTCACTGGCATAAAAGAGAATAAAAGAATAAATAAACCCAAATAAACTCAGTTCTCTGCTCTAAGCCCTCTAACTATAGTTATACTGCTTCTCACACCAGCGACATCAATTAAAGAATCCATGTTCTACCAAATATCTGGTACCTGCTGTAGAAATTTTGATTGTTATATGGAAACCTAAGTTTTTCATATGTAATTTAATTTGTTTAAAACACAAGAGTTTGTGTTACTTTAGTAATATGCCAGGAGTTTATAAGAAAAAAAAACCCAACCTCAAACATTATTAGGCCAATTCTTATTTCTATTCATATTCATCTTTATCTTTTCATATACACAATGGAGAAAAAATAACCTAGCTTTATTTATAAAGTTCAGCTACACTAAAGAATATACCCTAAAGACTAATCCACAGTAAAAGCAACATAATTTACACCTAAGGAATATAAAATAGGTCGAGGTATATTATACCATCAACTCTCTTATCATGAGACAATGTTCCATTTACAAATTCTGAATCTTTTTTTCTTTTGGATTCAGAACTGATACAACTCTTGCTCTTAAATATGAATATAAATAAACCTTAAAATAATCAAGGATTGCTTTTCCAAAGGGAGGAAGACTAAGTGTTAGGAGTCAATAATATACTTTTACTCCCTGAGATGGCAGGCCATGAAGAGTAGATCAAAATCTGCTTGGTGAGTAAATTACTTTCTGAGTATCAGGTACTTTGGGAAGTGCAGTCATTCCTTTCAGGATAGCAAGCCACAATAGTTAAAGCCTGTTAAGCCTAATTCAGATAACAGAGATATCAAAAGGTCTGCATCTCTAAAGAAACACACTCATTTCCTCTGCTCTTCTGAAATCATTTTAGATACTGAGAAAGGAAGCTATCAAAACACCTTTATTCTTGGTGGGTAGATACCCTACCCTGGATAATAATATGACTATTTTTACAGCCAGGAGTTTGACCTTATTAAATAATAATAAAGTTGCCTTGGAACTAATATATCTCAAAAGTACTTAACTTATACTCAGAAAGTAATTTATCCATCTGGTAGGACCTATCCATTGTTTATTAAGTGTTTACCTATTGCGGGATAAGGAAGATGAAAACTGACAGCACATTTTAATAGTGACATCTTACATCAGAAAACAGATATAGGATCGTGGAATGGAAAGAACCCAGCTAAAAAAAAAAAAAGAATAAGACTGCTCAGATGAAAAAAGGGAAATGAGCGAAAAATACAACACAGAAAAAAGAAGGCAAAAGATAGGTCTGATAAATGGATACAACAAGAATATTGCTTATTGCTGAACCAATAACAAAACATATCTCATTATCATTCTACTCTGAAAAGGCTGTGGTTACAGTGCAAGTGATGAACAAGGCCACTAGAAAATCATGGATTCCTTCCCAAAGGCTCTAGATTTTGTCATTCCCATTGTTGTCTACATGAGTTTTTGGCAGTTAGCAGGCTGCCTTTTCTGTATAAAAAGGAAGCAAGAATGAAGAAAACTGTTTTGGTGTGGCCTATCAGCTTGGGGTCTGAAGAAGGATTCATCACGGTCCTAACATTTCATAGAAAATCAGGGTTTTAAAAAAAAAAAAGGTCAAAAACAAAAAATTAAGGTGAGGGAACAAAGCACCATCCAGGCAGGAGGACAATTGTCCCTTTAAACGTATGTCAATATGAAATCTAAACATTCTAATCTAATTATAATTTCAGACAATAACTTCGAAGATGCTCAGGAGGTGAAAGAGATCTCTGTAAGGGTTCATTGCTAATTTTGTGGTTTTCATTTTTAGAAAAGGAAAAACAAAAGATAAAACATATCATGGTGCTACAACTTATCATCCCACTTCCCTCTAGTATTATCTCCAATTTATACTGTCTATATATTTGTAAATAATTTCCATATTGTCTCCTCAACTAGAATAAGAGGTCCTTGAAAGCAGGGGCTGGGTTGTTTTTTTTTCTTTCTCTGTGTCCTCAGTGCATAAGAGAGTGACTGGCACACAGTAGATGCTTAATAAATACTTGTTGAATTTATTTGACTTTGAAGCTACATTTTAAAAATTATACTGTTTTTTTCCCAAATGATAATAAAAGAGAAGGTATTGAAATGATGCTATTTTCATCTGCTTCTGGAAAGGCTCAACTCTGAGAACTGCCTTATTTTCCTTTATGTACTCCGCAAGTTTTAATTAAATTTAAAATATGATTCTATCCATTTTCCCATTCTATTTCTAAATTAATTTAAAATTAACAACATATAGAAGACTGCTAGAAATCGGATGTTATTTGCTCTGTGCTAAGCTTCAAGATCACCTGATAGGTTTTTTTTAACTTGATAGTATTTCTAAAGGACTAGTCAAATTAACTTTATATGATTTGGCCAAGTAGGAGTAGGTCTATGCTGATAAGATACTTTTAGTAAAAACCAGTGTTTAAACCCTCTCTGGATCAGGGATATTTCTGGGGAATGTGGGGAGTCTGCTTAGAATTAGTTTAGTATCTAAATATAGGTAGCTGTTTGGGGAAAACTTCAAATACTCTATTTTTATTTTGACATTCAGTCTTGCACAAAATCTCAGGAAATGATATTCGAACTGTCATTCCTAAACACTCATGATATTTATAGTTCTGGAGTAAAATATGATAAATTACACTAAATTTTAAAAGCTTCTTCATTCCTCAGATACCAGGCTTAACAAAGAACAAAGGATTTCTATGCCATACATGAAAATCACCCTCAATTTATGGTTGTACCATAATGGTAAAATATTCACAGCAGTGAAAATATTGCCAATATGACCTGTTCTGAAAATTGAACACGTGAAATCATTGATTGCATTGCTAAATAGTTTGTGCTAAATCACTATCTCCTAAAAGTTAAATAAAATATCCCTTAATAGAAATTGAGCATTTATGGTAGGTCAGTTAACAACAACAAAATAAGGTTTGTAACTTTTAAAAGACCCATCACAGTATTTTGTGTCTTTACTCACAAATTACTTCCATAAAATGTAGCTCCTATCTTAATAATTTTTTCTTTATACTAAATAGTAGTCTAATTTTATTTATTCTCTCTGCATCAAGTTCCCTACAATTTCATAGCTGAACTTTTCAGCTGACATTTTTGAATTTCTTTGTTTTTCACCATTTACAGGTAACTGACTCTTTTTAGGAGCCATTGGTTTTGCCTTAGTAAGAGTCCCTGCAGCCAGAAGTTAATAATAGCCACTTTTCTTTATTCTAACTTTCCATTTTGCACATATCTTTGTTCCATTAAAATGTCAGACAATGATATAAGTGACATTTTGCTGGGATTTCTGTCACTTAATGTTTTGGTCTTATTTAATTTAGCATTACTAAGTACAGAATAGTAATCATAATCAGTACACTGGTACAATGAAGTGCTTATTTGCAAAGTCTAATGAATGAAAAGTCAGAAGAATAAGAATGTTCTGCCATACTGGACAACAAACCCACTCAGCTGTGGTCATCAGTGCTTGCTATGAACTCTTTAGAAAATTTTTGTTGCAAATGTTCTTTTATAAACCAGCTTCTTTCCTAATTTATTTTATCTTTTGTCTTTCTCCTAGAGTTCTTTGTTTCAGGTAACTCAATCTCTGTGGTAGTTCACAGTTTTCTCTCTCTTTTGAAAGCATTAGAGTCAAGCGAATAAGGAGTTATTTTTGAAAAGCCATTTAGTCAAGATACACATTTCTTCCTGAAGGAAATCATTAACCTACAGAATCAAAAAACTTAAGGCTGGAATTTGGAACATTCATTACATAGGCTGAAATGCAAAAGGAGATGTCCATACATACCTAGTTGTTTTTAGTCTGATGATAGCTACATACTAAAGAAATCCAAATAGCTTTGAAGTGGTCTTAGCCTTGACTACCTTCCCAGACACATATTGCTTTTTTTTTTTTGATGACATGCACTTAGAATCTGAGAACATCCAAAGAGACTATGTTGTTTTAGTTTATGTAATAAGTTATTTTTTTAAAAAAAGAAGTTATTTTTTCATTAGCTCAATCAAATTAAGGGGTATTTTTAAAAGGCAAAGGCACTGAAATATTTAAATTCTTTTTGCAAACAAACCAGTACATAATTGCTTTATTTCTTTTCTCATAATTTCTTTACTTCTTTTCTTTGCCTCTTCCCTCCCCATGTTTTGCCATTAACTGATCTTGGAGACCTACTTTTTAAAAAGAAGATTTTTAATTATTTTTAGCGGTTATCTTTTATTTGAATAAATACCTGAATTTTATGTCAAAGACATGTACATAATCCAGAAAGACAAATGTAAAAGTGGTCACTAAACTGTTGGATTTCAAGCCTACGGTCCAATTAACATTTTATATCCTTTTCTAATGTAAGTATCTAACAAATGAGAACATTTAGCATTGTAAGAAGAAAAGGGAGCACCGTCTCTTTTTTTTCTATTTAAATTGGCTTTTAAACTTTTTTTAAGGAAATGACATTCTTGAAAGCTTCCTGGTTAATGACAATGAGAAACAGAAGACTAGTCGACAGTGTGATGCCTCAACTGCCATTCCACAATGCTGAATGAGAAACCTCAGACATTTTGGGAGGGATTTAATTTTCAGGGGAGGCAGTGCATCAGTCTCTATGCTGTTTCAACTCTTGGCCCTTCTGCTGATGATAGCCACTGAAAGTGCTGATGAATGCCATATGTAGTGGTGATTTTAGGGATATGGACATTTGTTCACTAGGAATTTGACAGAGGCCACCAACTAATTCCACCAACAACTCAAACATCTGAGATGTTTACACATTTTGGTCTCCACAAACCTAGGTCAAATTCAGACCAGTAACCATATCCCACTACTGGTTCCCTGAGCCACCCAATACCCATAAATGTATTTTAATCAGTTTTCATGTTAGGTTTATTCATCTCCCCAAGGTTGAAATTGAACTCTTTGAAGACTTGTATAAGGACAATACCAATGGAAACAGTAGTGAATCCACATGCCATTCCCAAGAAATCTACCAGTCCTACATTACTCCATTCCCGAAAAAGAATTGCTGAGGCCAACAAGACCAAAGTGGTGAATACGACATAATAGATGGCACCAAATACAGATGAATCAAAGCACTCGAGTGCCTTATTAATATAGCGAAATTGAATGATGATACTACAGCCAAGTACAGCTAAAAGGACCAGACAAAGGTATAGGGCTCTTTGACTTGAAGGATTATTATGAAAGATATCTTGAGCAGCTAGCCCAATTCCTTTAGTGCTTGGCACAGTGAAACTCCCCAACAATGAGCAAATACTGATGTACACCATGATATTGGTAGGTCCATGGGCTGGTGCTATCCAAAAGATGAGAAGCAGCAGCATGAGGAGCACTATGCACAGGTAGCCAACAAACACTGAAAAACAAATAACATATCATTAATTAAAGGGAAAAAAAACACGAATGAATCACATAGCACATTTTTAAAAATGATAAAAGCAAATATCACAAATCAGCAAAGTATGACACTGACATTAAATACTCTTTACTCTCATTAGATTGTAGTATGTATAATCTTCTAACCAGAATAATTAAACCTTTTATTAAGTTTCCCTCATTCTGTTACCTTCTGTTCCCATGTCCTGTCTTGCCTTAATGGAGCTATGATACCATCAGTACTCCCTCAGCCATCATACCCTTGCAATGCCTTCTCTTTTCATATTTCTTCTCATTTTCTCATAAATCCTTCTTTGAGAAGCTACCCTAACCCTAGAACCAATTCTCTTTTCCCCCCTATTCTTTTTGGTAACAGAAGTCTCTGTGGTATACAAAAGTACCACTTGGGCTGACCATCTGTCATCTCTTGTTCTCAATATCCAACTAGTCCCTTCCTTATTTTAATCACACATATCCTCAGTAATTATCTTTTATACTGCTTCTTGTGCATAATCCCTGTTTGATAATATGTTTGACAACATGTTTGATAACATGCTACAGCCTGACACCCACTAGATTTCTGTCTATTGACCTCAGAAGCGGCATTTTAACATTTGATGTAATGGGATTCAGTTATTCACAGTCATTTGTCAAGAGTATATTAGTATTAGAGAGTCCTTTATCACCAAAGCAGGTTTGAGGTCACTGAAAGCATTATGCAATTTCCCAAATGATCTCTAGACCCAAACTTCTCATTCTTGGCTTACCTCATTGCCCATCTGCCCAGAGGCAGATGGTGGTGCAATGGATAGATCACTGGGCCCAGAATCAGGAAGATCTGGTTTCAAATACAGCCTCAGACACTTACTAGCTGTGGGGCCCTGGGCAAGTCACTTAACCTCTGTTTCCCTCAGTTTCATCAACTGTAAAAATGGGGATAATAACAGCATCTACCTCATACAGGTATGGTGTGAGGATCAAATGAGATATTTGTTCAAAAACAAACAAAACAAAACAAAACAAAATGCTTATCATAGTGCCTGGCACATAGAAGACACTGTGTAAATACTTATTCTCTTTCCCTTTTCAATTCCTATCCATAGCATACATTAGTAGATAGCCTAATTCAGTAGACCACCCATTCAGTTACATATCATTAAGGGCAACATAATGTTTTCCCCCCAAAATGGATGGTTAAAACCTATTTCTTACTTATTACTATAGATCACTGAGCAGACTGCATAGTACCAGAGCTCAATATAACTAATACATGTTATATGTGAATAGAAGCAACTATTAATAATTTACCCTTTCTCTATTAATAATTTATCCTTTCATTTGCATTTTTATCTAAAGCATAACAAAACCTGGCAGAAAAAGCCTGAAAGAAATTTCACTGGGATAGCTAGGTGGCACAGTGGATAGAGTACTGGCCCTGAAGTCAGGAGGACCTGAGTTCAAATCTGGCCTCAGACACTTGACACTAGGCGTGTGACCCTGGGCAAATTACTTAACCCCAACTGCCTCACCAAAAGGCAAAAAAAATTTTTTAACATTTAAAGAACAATTCATCCCAATACTATATACATTATTTGGAAAAATAGGCAAAGAAGGAGTTCTACCAAATTCCTTTTACAACACAAATTTGGTGCTGATACCCAAACCATGAAGAGCTGAAACAAAGAAAGAAAATTATAGACCAATTTCCCTAATGAATATTAATGCAAAAATTTTAAATAAAATATTAGCAAAGAGATTACAGCAACACATCACAAGGATCATGAACTATTACCAGGTAGGATTTAAACCAGGAATTCACATCTGGTTCAATATTAGGAAAACTATCAGCATAATTGACCATATTAATAACCAAATCAACCGAAATCATGATTATCTCAAGAGATGCAGAAAAAGCTTTTGACAAAATACTGCACCCATTCCTATTAAAAACACTAGAGAGCATAGGAATAAATGGATCTTACCTTAAAATGATAAGTAGTATTTATCTAAAACCAACAGCAAGTATTATCTGTAACGGGGATAAGCTAGCAGCCTTCCCAACACAATCAGGGGCAAAGCAAGGATGCCCATTATCACCTCTATTATTTAATATTGTACTTGAAATATTAGCTATAGCAATAAGAGAAGAATAAGAAATTAAAGCAATTAGAATAGACAATGAGGAACAAAACTACCACTCTTTGCAGATGATATAATGTTAAACTTAGAAAATCATAGAGAATCAATTAAAAAATTACTTGAAATTATTAATAACTTTAGAAAAGTTGCAGGATATGAAATAAACCCATCATCAGCATTTCTATATGTTACTGACAAAGTTCAGCAGCAAGAGATATAAGGAGAAATACCATTTAAAATAACCGTAGACAATATAAAATACTTGGGAGTCTACTAGCCAAGACAAACCCAGGAACAACAAGAACACAACTATAAAACACTTTTTACACAAATAAAGTCAGCTTGAAACAACTGAAAAAATATTAATTGCTCATAGGTGGGCCGAGCTAATATAATAAAAATGACAATTCTATTTAATCTATTTATTCAGTGTCATACCAATCAAACTATCAAAAAATTATTTTATGGAGCTAGAAAAAATAATAACAAAGGTCATTTAGAAGAATATAAGCTCAAGGATATCAAGGGAAATCAATGAAAAAAATGTGAAAATGGGTGGTTTAGCCATACCAGATCTCTTACTGTATGAAAACCATCTCGTACTGGATAAGAAATAGAGTGGTGGATCAGTGGAATAGATTAGGTACAAATTACATTATAGTAAATGACCACAGTAATCTAGCATATGATAAACCCAAAGATCTAAACTTTTGGAACAAAAACTCATTATTTGACAAAAACTGCTGGGAAAATTGGAAAACAGCATGGCAGAAACTAGGAAGAGTCAAAACTCACACCATATACCAAGACAAGGTCAAAATGGGTATATGATTTACACATAAAGAGTGATATCATAAACAAATTAAAAGAGAATGTAATAGTTTATCTGGCAGATTTATGGACAAGGGAAGAATTTATGACCAAAGAAGATATAGGGAGCATTACAAAATGTAAAGTAGATAATTTTGATTATATAAAATTTAAAAGTTTTTGCACAAACAAAACAAATGCAACAAATTATAAAGAAGGTAGAAAACTGGGAAAAAATGTTTTGTAATAAGTATGTTTGATAAAGGCCTAATTTCTCAAATATATAGAGAACTGAGTTAAATTTATAGAAAATACTATTCATTCTCCAACTGATAAATGGTTAATGATATGAATGGGCAGTTTTTTGACAAAAGAAATCAAAGCTAGCTATAGTCATATGAAAAAATGCTCTAAATCACTACTGATCAGAGAAATTGAAACAACTCTGAGGTACCAGCTCATATCTATGACAAAAAAAGGAAAATGTTGGATTTTTGTGGGAAAACTGGGACACTACTGCACTGCTAGTGGAGTTATGAACTAAGAACAATTTGGAACTATGCCCAGAGTCCTATAAAAGTGTGCAAATCCTTTGATCCAGCAATACCACTGCTAGGTCTATATCCCAAAGACATCCAAAAAAAGGGGAAAAGGACATATTTGTACAAAAATTATTTTAAGCAGCTCTTTTCGTGGTGGCTAAGAATTGGAAATTGAAGGGATGCAGCCCATCAATTGGGGAATGGCTAAACAAGCTGTAGTATATGATTGTAATGGAATATTATTGTGCAATAAGAAATGACAAGTAGGATGATTTCAGAAAAACCTGGAAAGACTTACATGAACTGATGCATAGTGAGGAACAGAACTAGGATAATGTATATAGAACAGCAATATTGTTCAATGAAGAACTGTGAATGACTTAGCTATTCTCAGCAATACAATGATCCAAGACAATCCCAAAGGACTAATGATGAAGCATACCATCCACCTCTGGAGAAAGAACTGACATTGTTTGAATATAGATTGAAGCATGCTATGTACTGGAGCGTGCTATTTTTCACTTTCTTTCATTTTTTTTCTATTATTTGAGTCTTCTTGTACATAATGACTAAAATGGAAATGTCTTACGTATACAACACATATACACACAAATATATTACACATATAGCACATGTATAATCTATATCTGATTATTTACCATTGGAGGAGGGGAGGATGAGGAGGGAGGGAGGAAAATTAAATAAACATAAAAAGTGGAGGTAGGGAAACATCCCAGGCCAATTTCACTCTGAGCCATTCTTAAACATCTCAAGTGAACCCATGGTTACTTCAGTTATACTTGCCTCAATAGGCATTTGTTCTGTGCTATGTTTCACACAACTGGTTGTGATGGCATGTAGGCATCCATGTTTTTGGAATGAAGGAACACATGGCACCATTATCTGAAGCTGCTAACTGGGAAATATGGTAAAAAATTCTAGAAAGAAGATTAATTTAGAAGAAAACCACATCAGAACTTAAAGTTTGCTTAAAGGATGCACAGCATACTTTCCTTATTTGATTCCAAATACTATTTTGTATTACACATTTCATTCAATCTTGGGAGTGGCTTTTTTTCCACACATCAGTGTTGAAGCCCAAAGAACATATGATCAGACTTCAAAATATGGGCAAATTAGAAAACGACACTATATAGGTGACTATTATGATATCAGAGGATTATACGCATTATAATTTTTCTTTCTTTTTTTTCGTGAGGCAATTGAGGTGAAGTGATTTGCCCCTGGTCACACAGCTAGTGTCAAGTGCCTGAGGCCGGAGTCGAACTCAGGTCCCCCTGACTTCCAGGGCTGGTGCTTGGAAATTTTTCTAGAGAATATCCATTAAGAACATTTTTCAGGAAAGCTAAAAATTCCTCTAGTTTCCTTAGGTGACCTCTCTTCATAATGTTTAAACAAGAAAATCAGTTACCTGGATTTGTAAGTTTCTCTTCCAGCTCAGCCTGAGTTGTTACGCTCTCAGATTTCGGGGAATGAATGATAAGAACAACAGAACCAGCGCAACTTAGCAAACATCCCAACTTGCCCAAGATGTTCAGTTTTTCTTTCAGAAGGTAAGAAGCTAAAATAGACCTTCCACAACAAAAAGAAAACGAGAATTTTAAAATCAAGCTATTTGTCATAACAGTAACGAATCTTACTTCAGGTCCTATTTTGTTTAATGATTCAGAAGAACCCAAATTTCTCTGCAGTATTTCTTAGTGGGTTTAAGGTAAGGCCTAGACCTATGATTTCATTGGTAGAGGGAACTCCTGCATGCTAAAACTTCCCCTACTAATGCGGGGTAACATCTTCTCTGTAACACATACCCTTAAAGACTTGCCCAGAGTCCTAAGAAGTTAATGACTTGTCTAGGGTCACAATGCCAGTATGTGTCAGAGGTAGGACTTGCCCCGGTCTTCTTGGCTCTGAGGCCAGGTTTATGCCCACTATGCAACACTGTGCTTCTTAAAAGATTTAATAGTAAGACATTAGAAAGTTTCAGAGAAATTAAAAAACAAATATAAACATGATATCACAAACAAATTTAAATGTTTCTAGTATAGTGATGGTGGTGATGGTCGGGGTAATAAGAGACTGAATAGGGCTCAATTATCATTTGAGTTTCACACAATTCCTCTCTGGTCTACTTGATGAAACTACAGAGTAAGGTAAGAAATATATGACAAAGATAAGAAGATTTTATGGTCTTAAAGGAAGCATGAATGAGTGTTTATACTCTGTTGCCACTTTAAGGGCATGAAGAAACTCTTCCATCACTTTGATGGAATTATAGGGGGGCAGCTAAGCTGTACAGTGGATACAATACCAGACCTGAAGTCAGGAAGACTCAACTTCCTGAGTTCAAATCTGGCCTCAGACACTTACTAGCAAGTCACTTCACTCTGTTTGCCTCAGTTTCCTCATCTGTAAAACAAGCTGGAAAAGGAAATGGCAAACTACTCTAGTATCTTTGTCAAGTAAACCTCAAATGGGGTCATGAAGAGTCGGACACGACTGAAACAAATGAACAACAACAAAAAAAAGTTGCTAGAGTAAAAATAGCAGTCTATCTCACAACAGAATAGGAAGATTATCATATCTGATAAGCCATATAAAAATAGCACCCATAGTCCTAAGAGTTACACTGACTCTTTAATATGATGAATCTAATCTTACTGTCGATTTGTTTAATTTCTCTACAATGAAACTAATAACATGGGGTTAACTGTGATGTGTCTTATGTGAACCTAGATGCTGAAGTCATTTTACAGACCAACTGTTAATATAAAGCTACTTTGAGACTACTAGTTTCTCATTATATTGCCCAACTACTATGTGCTTAGCACTAACAACCATCACATTTATATAGCACTTTTACATTAACAAAGTGTTTCTCACAACAATGTTGTGAAGCAGATAAATTAAGCATTGCAGGGGGCACAGATCTCTGTCTTCCACCACCTCACAGAAATGGAGCAAATCTGAGCAAAAAGCACAAGACAGTAGAGCATTAAGTCATACAATGTTAACTGACACAGAAAGGGATGACCCACTAGGGCTGGAATAGCCAGCAAAAGTTTCACTGAAGAGATAGGACCTGAAGGGTAGTATGGAGGTGGATAGGCAGAAAGACCTTCTAGGTAGGGCGAATAATGTGGACAAAGATATTAAGGCAGGAAATAAGGATGATATGGTTATAAGACTTGTTGAGTTATTTTAAGTCGCATCTAACTCTCCATGACCCTATTTGGGGTTTTCTTGGCAAAGGTACTGGAGTGGTTTGCCATTTCCTTCTCCAGCTCATTTTACAGATGAGGAAACTGAGGGAAACTGGGTGAAGTGACTTGCCCAGGGTCACTGAGCTAGGAAGTGTCTGAGGTCCAACATTTGAACTTGGGACTATGAGTGTTTCTGACTTCAGGCCTGGCACTCTATGTACTATGGCACCACCTAGCTGCCCATTTATAAGACTAGAGGGTTTTTTTTTTGTTTAACATTTCCTCCTCTATAATCAAATGATACCCAGACACAAATTTGGCTGAACCAAACAGTCAAAATTATTTTCCTTCTTTTAATTTTTAATAGTGATGATGTCATAACAGGAAGGGTCTTATGAAGGGTTGGAGAAGTCCTCATGTTATTTGACAAGCGATTTGGAATATGTTCCTCTAAAAAGAGATACTCTGATTTTCTGTTCTGTTTTATTACACATACTGTAGGTTCTAAATTAATTCTCTATATTCCACATAAGGGGGATTGAAAGAAAATAGTAGTGCTAATGATTAAAAAAATAATACATTTTTGTCTTTGGAATGCCATTTCTCTACATGTCTGCTGTTCTAAAATTTCATAATACTTCAAACTAGATAACAAGTCAACAAGTATTTATTAAATACCTACTATGTGCCAGGAACTGTGATCAGTGATGGGACAAGGCAAAGATAGGCAAAAACAGTGCCTGCTCTCAAGAAGCTCACATTCTAATGGGAAGGACCTCACAATAACAGAGCCATACTACAAACAGTTCTGGTCTAGAAGAATCTCAGAAGCTGTCCAGCTTTTCTGATCCTTCCCTGCTTAGATCTCTTCCCTTTTTCCCATTTCACTATGAAGAGACATCTCTGACTTATGCAAAAGACCAGACTAAGGCAGTTTAACCCATCTAAAATATACTTGGTTTACACCTCTCCTTCAGAATGATTATAACATATCCTATGCACAGACTTAAGAAGCCTTCTTACTATTTTTTGAGCTAGAGTAACCATGATCATATTTTTATTTAAAAAGGACTTAGCAGAGACCTAATGAGAATGTATGTATGTGAAAGTGCTTTGAAATCTACTAAGGGCTATACAAACAAGAGATATTAAGTATAAGACAACAATGAAAAGAAAGTCTTGCACGAAACCAAGACTGGTAAAATCTGCCAAGCTCTAAGTGAAAATAATCCTGTGAACTGTTTGCTAGGATTTCAGTGAACAAATAATTTTTGGACATAGGAATTCACCATGTAAATAATGTGGCACCTAATCTAGAAACTTAAGAAATACTGCAAACATTCATTTGGAGCTCTGTCTGAGAGCCACTTTGGAGAGGAAGGCTAACTGAGAAGGATACACGCCTTTAAAAAAGGAAGAAATAATTCCTCTGTCTCCAGAAAATTTTAAATAAACTGGTCTGTTAGGAAATACTCAGACTAAAATTTTAATAATTAACAATTACAAGGGTGGATAGTGAAGCTTATCTTAATGCAGGTGAAATTTCCCTTTCAGAAGCCTGTAATGATGATAACAAATGAAGCATTAGGGATAAAGCAATTTTGAAGTTTCTTCTCATATGCATTAAGTCAGTAAAGATGATAAACAAGAGAAGCCTCAGAAAGATAGGCACATTAATACACTGCAGTTCAGCTATGAAGTAGTTCAGCCATTCTTGGAAGACTGTTTGAAATTATCAGAGAAAAGTGACTAATTTGTTCATACACTTTGACCCAGAGATATAATTCATTACTGGGATTATGCCCCACCCCCCAAAGAGGTCAAAGACAGAGTTTCCACATATGCCAACATATTCCTTCCAAGACTAACTCCAATCTCGATGAGGTATGTGAGTCTAGAACAGATGGGCCCCTTACTGGACGGGGAGAAGATGCAGAAACTTTGGTACTCTGGACCCTAATGCTCTAATTTGCTCTAATTTTTAGATTTGCTACAAGGAAGCATCCTGTGAAAAGCATTATTGGAAATCAGCACTAGTATTTAAAAAAAAAAGCATCAACACATTTTTAAAGTTTTTTTGTCTTTTGTTTTTTTTGTGAGGCAATTGGGGTTAAGTGACTTGCCCAGAGTCACACAGCCAGTAAGTATCAAGTATCTGAGGCCAAATTTGAACTTAGGTCCTCCTCACTCCAGGACTGGTGCTCTATCCACTGCACCACTTAGCTGCCCCTAAGTTTTTTTTTTAAATAAAGAAGAAATTGCTGATAATGATGGCTCAAAATCAAATTTATTGGAACAAGTCTCATGTGGCAAAAGTTGTATTCAAACAGTTGAGTTTTTTTCCTCTGTGTATTTCCCCCTCCCTCAACTCTTTTTCTTAAAACAGTGCTTTCTATATCTGCTAGACATTTCAGAGAGATGACAATGCCAAGAAGCACAAATTGTTTTGTTTTACTACAACATGTTTATTATAGAATTCTGGGTTTTGAGCAATAAAGGCCCTTAGCAGGCAAGTTTCTGACCATTCCTCTTCGACTAGCAAAAACAAAGATGCTTAAATCCTTAACATTAAGAAGCTAACATGTTAAATTTGTAACATAAACATCTGAATACTACTGCAGCCACTAAATTTGTAAATACCATCTAAATGAAGTAACACTACAATTTAAAAGAAAACAATGAAATAAACATGGGAACTGTGTTACAATTGGGGAGACACTGTCGTGTTCTAGAAAGCTGGGTGGTACAGTGGGTAGAGGGCTGGACTTGGAGTGAGGATGAATTCAAATCCTGTCTTTGGACACCTAGTAGCAGCGTAACCCTGAGCAAATCATTTAACCTCTCTGTGCCTCGGTTTCCTCATCTGAAAAGTGGGAACAATAATAGCACCTACTTCCCAGGGTTGCTGTAAGGACAAAATGAGATATTTGTGAAAAATAACTGCCACAGTGACAAGTCTACCAGGAATTGTTTTTTAACATATAACAAAAGACAAAGCCACTTGAAGCCTCATCTGTGAGTCAGTGAAGTAGAAGGGAAATGGAACCTGCCTAGGGAAAAGGAAGCTTATACTCTCCTCCCAGCTCTGCCATCAACTATCTTTATGACCTTGACAAATTTTTCCAACCTCTCTGGGTCTCTGTTTCTTCATCTATGAAAACGAATGGACTGGTCTCTATGTTTTTAAAGATTCCTTTCGATCCTATGATTCTATAACTTGGAGTTCATTTGTGCCTCTGCTTGTGGCAAAACAAAAGCTCAGACAGTCGGATACCATATAATTATACGCCAGAAGCAAGCAATTTATACCTATGATGATAGCTATTCTCCATCTCTGCTGGGATTTGTGCATAAGGCACAGGGGTTCATAAC